ATCAGATTCCTCCTTCTCCTCTTCCTCACTTCCTTCCTCCTCTGCAAGATCGGTGATTACCTCTCCCATCATCCTTCACTCCCCCCCCCCAACCGTATCCTAATCTGAATCTGAAACCAAAGCAGCCTCCTTTTATCTCTCCTTGTGTCCTTTCCTCCCTCCCTCTTTCCTTCCCTTCCCTGCAGCGCTGTGATGAATTGCTGTTGATGTTCAGCTAACCGAGGCTGCAATTAGCTGTCTGATTACTGTGTGTGTGTGTGTGTGTGTTTGGGGATTCCCGAGGGAAATCATTCTCCTTTTGGGTTTAAAGTTTTGTGTTTATATTTCCTCTAATTCCCTTCTTTTCTGTTTTTAGTCTAAAAAGAGAGTTACCTAAAACTTTGAGTGGGTTTTTATTTGTAAATCAAACATCTGCTCTTCAGCTCGTTTTGTTGCTAATAATGATCCGCTCTTTTCTTTTATCTCCTCTCTCTCTTCTTTTTATCGTCTATTTCTTTAGTTGTTTACTGATGTGACTCAGTCTGTCCAGCCCTCTGTGTGTGTGTGTGTGTGTGTGTGTGTGTGTGTGTGTGTGTGTGTGTGTGTGTGTGTGTGTGTGTGTGTGTGTGTGTGTGTGTGTGTGTGTGGAGGGGATAATGATTATTACTAGTGAGAAACACCTGGCAGCAGGAAGGAAGAAAAGTGTCTCCTTTGCCCGTCTTTTTGAAAAATGATCACTTGTAAAGAATGAAGGTTTGGCTCGTGGCGACGGGCGGGGTCACTGCTGGAGTACTGAGGTCGTAAAAAAATCAATAAAAATACAGAATGGTACAAAGTGTGGAAGTAAATGGTGCAGAGATGGGGTTGCAAAAAGAGCGTGAACGTTACTTCACTTGTTTTGGAGAACATGTAAGATTCTGGAGCTTCTGGTGGTAACCCTGATGTGGAGCTACATTTAAGAGGGGGGGGGAGAGGGGATGTGCATCATCAGCTTCAGGTTACTACACAGACGGCGAGCTCTGTGATTAATCAGCCTGCTCTGTTTGATTCATCTTTGGTTTTTTCTGAAGCTGCTCGATGTTTCAAACCACATGAAGCACGTTTAAAGAGTCAGTCACCGGCTCCCTGTACACGACTGTCACTCAGCTGTTAGTCTCGTAAAGGAAGAAACTAAAAACTGACTCTGTTAGGGATGTCCCAAGGCGACACATTTTGCTGACGATTTAACACAAAAATCTATATTTAGACGGGTTAATGGTGAACGAGATCTTCGAGTCGCAGTTGAACATGTGTCAGGAATAAACTGGGAACAGTATTTTTTTTGAACATTGCTTCCATTAAGTCAATGAATAAAAAGATACTGATGTGATTTCTGCTTTGGTCGGTACCAAGAAAGCATGATCCCTTAAAGCAATGTTTCTCAACTGCTGGGTCGGGACCCAAAAGTGGGTCGCGACGCGGTTTTCAGTCGGTCATGAATGTTTACTAGAGATAAAAAAATAAAGGTGTCAAAAAGTCTACAAAGCACTTTTTTAACTTGTTTTGATTTGTTCAGTTTTTTGCCTCCATTACATGTTTTGTAACGTTTTTCATTAAATAAATCTGATTGGTTGTAAAATATCAGAAATTTGGGTCATGATTTCTCAGTGGTGGGTCCTGAGGCTAGACGAGCCGAGAACCACTCACGCCTTAAACCATGAAAAAGGCAAAACATGTCTATCACATCACTTCATTCTTAAGAGTGTTGTTGCACTTTGGAGCTCTTGTAAAATGTTGCTATTGCATTTCCTTCAACACTTTATTAACTGTTCTGCCCGACCTGTTGGTGTCTTTCAGGCGTTCAGTGTTTCCTCAGAAAGGAGAGAGTCGAAAATCATAATGTAACCACCTACTACATACTACTATCAGTACAGACTGCGTTCAACAGTAGTGTGTAGTCTGACTGCCAGTCCCGGCTGAGCTGGTTTCTGGTCTTGTAGTGCCGAAGTAAACATCAACCCAGCTGACGGTAAACCCAGCCACAGTGTAGAGTCCACTTTGAGTCTGAAAAAAAGCCAACAAGTGATTCATTTAGAATTTCATGATTTTGAGGATCTGCACTTTAACCCATGAAGTCAAAAAATGGATTTTAGGTAACCAGTCTTGTCAGCATTAATGTGTCATCTCCGGGAAACTTGTATGTTTTAATATCTGTATATTGTTCTGTGTATTTCTTCTGTCTTATGAAATGTGTGTGCATGACTGGTTGATTTGTATTGTACTGTTGCCAGGGGCAACAGATGGAAATTAGCTAGCTAGCTAAATCTGGTACAAAGTGTCTCTTCTTTTCTGAGACTAATGTTTTTGTTTGTACATTGTCCCTGATTCAAATAAACTAATAAACTAAACTCAACTAAACTAAAAAAAGACAATTGGTGGGTTGGTCTGATTGTTGTTACTGACCGTCATTTAAATCTCTGAGCTGACGCTTTGCATTATTGGGAAACGGTACGTGAGAAAACTGGTTTGATGCATGTTGTGAATTTTTCTTCTGAATCTGAACGACATCTGGGTGTTTTTGGTGTACTTCAGATCCCTAATTTGTTCACATACTGCACACTGCAAGTTTGACCAAATCAGTACACGTACTACGAGTATAGCAGGCGATTTCCAAAACAGCCAAAGTCTTTCTTTAGCTTTCATTCATGCTGAGGTAAAAGTTGCACCAGAACAAACTCTCTTGCAGTGAGGTTTTTTTTTTTTGTTGCTGTGCAGCTAATCAGGAAGTCTGCTGAAAAAGCTTCCCTTGATTTTAATTAGCCTCCCATTTCATGCTGCCAGCAGGACATGTGTGAACACAGCATGTAAACCCTAAAGGTTAAAGGTCAGCAGTGGAGGCAAACTAAAAGAGAGTATAGAGTAACAAAAGAAATCATGGGATTAAAAGTCTTTTGTGTGTATTTTTAACGTTGCAACAACATTTTTTTTTCTGGACTTTTGTGTTTTTGGGGGATAAAAGTTTCTGCAAACATTTTGTGTGATCTTCACTTCAAAAGGATGTTCAGAGTTTTAGGGTCCTTGTTTGTGAGTGTTTAAAGGTCTGGGGAATGTGTTCTGGCAATGAGGGTCTTCACAAGTACATAATTACAAACGTGTGTGTGCATGTGCATGTGTGTGTGTGTGTGTGTGCATGTGCATGTGTGTGTGTGGATGGGTTGTTAAGGTACAGTCATTGCTAATAAGCATGGCACACTTTCTTAACACACACACACACACACACACACATAAACGCACACACACAGTAGGGGGTCTGTCTGATTGGTTTCAGGTGTGTGTGTGTGTGTGTGTGTGTGTGTGTGTGTGTGTGTTTGTAGTGTGTGACCAAAGCCTGACACCTCTGTAACAAGCCTGAAGGGTGTGTGTGTGTGTGTGTGTGTGTGTGTGTGTGTGTGTGTGTGTGTGTGTGTGTGTGTGTGTGTGTGTGTGTGTGTGTGTGTGTGTGTGTGTGTGTGTGTGTGTGTGTGTGTGTGTGTGTGTGTGTGTGTGTGTGTGTGTGTGTGTGTGTGTGTGTGTGTGTGTGAGAGAGAGACCTGGGTCAAAGCTGTAAACTTGCTCAAACACACCTCATGAGAGTCCACGTCTTTGTGTTGGGACTCGGAGAAAAGGATTCTGGGTAGCTCAAAGAAAGTGTCCATTTACAGCTCGTCTCTCTCTTCTCGGTGTGTAACTTTGTCGCCCTTTGTGTTGAAGCTGCAGGGTGCAGGGTGGGGCTTTGAGAGGAGCTCTAGTTTCTCTGGATTACCTCCACAGCACACGTGTGGCTGACATCAGTCTCATTTGGATAAAGTTATTGCATCAGATCAAATTAAAGTTACAGGTGTGATTAGAGGGGCCAGGTGTGTTAGCAGCAGGCTAACTTCATTTCATACTTTATTATTTTTCTGTGCTAGGTCTAGTTTTTAACTTTCAAGTCTTCTTATACTTCTGCACTCTACCAAGTTGAGTTTTTATTTTAAAGCGCTGTATAGCTGCTTTCACATTCATACAAACCTCCTGAAGTTTGAGCTGCATGTGTGAGCGCTAATGGACAACATCTTTACTCAGACGTTATCCGGTGTCTCTCCTGCCAGACCCCTAGTC